TCACTTCACCCACGATGGTCTGACCTAATTGTTGTTAACTTTATTTAAATTTCTTTCTACCCGACAGCGAAAATTATAAAAAAAAATTGTCGAGCAAAATTTTTCATTACCAAATTTTTACTAGTTATGAAAAAATAACCCCGTGATTGATAAAATGATAAAAAAAGAAGCCTGAGATTCGAACCGGTAAACTTATTAAACATATTACGGCAAACATACTAGAACACTGCGCCAAACTAGTATATATTGTGACAAGGCAAAATTTGATATTAGTTATTACGTATCTGTCATATTCGGCGTGACAAACTTTAATATTTAAGCGTTATGACAGGAGAAGAAAAATATTGGGTTGCCCAGTAAGTTCGTGCCGCTTTATAAGAAAAATTTAAGCCCTGTTCTCTTAAATTTTTGGAAATGTTTTTAAATTATATTGGTACGACACTATACCTAAAACGTCTTTTATTTTTGGCTAAAATTTTAAAAAATAGTTTTTATCTCAACCAATGAAATGAAATTATTCACAATAAAGAAATTTTTGTGACGTTTGATAATGGTGGAAATCCGAAGATGAATCCACTTCAGCTACAGTCTGTTGTAAGCTTTACATCGAAAATCAGAACGAACTTTCCGGACAACCTATAATGTTAATACAAAGTGTCAAATGAATGTAACAGAAGTAGTTTATTCCAAATTGTATCACAAGTATATAGAGATAGAGTTCAATTTTGTCAAATGTACCGATATTTTTGCGCACCTTGACTGCTTCGTTACTTATGACGCTGTGGCTGCTACGATATTTATGAGCATCTTGCATGTACTCATATATTTGACGCTGTGTATGTACCGATGTATTTGAGCAGGGTGAATGTATCTATCAATTTGAGGACTTTTGTTGTACCGATATAATTGAATACTTTTGGTGTACCTATATATTTGCATATCTTGTCTGTGACGATCTATATGACGCTGACTGTACACATAAGCTACCTATGGTCCCGGAAATGTGTAAGGTACTCGTGGTATATTTGATTCAAATATTTACTCCATAACTCCGCAACGGTTGAGATGTGTAATAGGAATAAGGCAGACATAGAATGTTGCATGCGATACTTTTCATCCTTTTAGAAATTCAGCGCAGACAAAGTCGCGAGCAAAAACTACTCATTATGAAATCTTGTATCGTAATTTTATTTACAAATGTTTGTCTATAGATAAGTTTGTTTTTTGCAGTTGGATTTTGCGTGGTTGTGGAGCTTTTTACATAAGACGACGAGTTGACGGTTCCGAATACCACGGCGATCCTATTTACAAGTCAGCTCTCAGGTAAAATACTTATATATACTTTTTTAATTAGAAATTGTATTTATTAATAGTTAAATTAAAAAACAAATGTGGCTATTTTTTTTCAGGGCCTACATTCTTAACAGTTTGGGAGCGAACAACAACTTGGAGTTCTTTATAGAAGGAGGACGGACAAGGACGGGGAAACCGCAGCCGCCAAAAGGTTAACTTTTTTATTATTTCTTTATTAATCCATATATAAAGAAAAATATTTTAGTATAAATAACAATAAAAATAAGAGCGTCGGTGGCTCAGGGGTCAAGCGCTTGACTTGCAATCTGCAGGTCCTGGGTTCGAATCCCGCCATATACCAATGTGTTTTTCGATTTCCGATTTACATATGTACATTTATCCTACGTTCTTACGGTGAAGGAAAACATCGTGATGCTGCACATATCTGAGAAGAAATTCAATGATATGTGGGAAGTCAACCCGCACTGGGCCAGCGTGGTTGACTATGGCCTAATCACCCTTAACTTAGGGTAGGCTCCGAGCAACTCGGTGGGGACGTATAGTGAGCTGATGATGATGATGATGAACAATAAAAATTTATTTCGAAGAACTGTTAATATAAAATATTAAATTGATTTGTACTTGTGTATAATATTTACTTAATCACATGTACGTAAAGAATTTATTTACGTAAATTATATTTAAAAAGTAAATTTGCAGAAAAGCTATAAAAATGAATTAAAATATAAATAATTCATTGTCTAATTTTAATGGAACTTTTACAAATGTAGAAAAATTGCAAATAATATTAATTTTTTTTGTCGTACTTTCGAATTTCCTTATTAACCATATCTCGAATAGATTTATTTTGTATTTAAGATTTTTTTTTATTTAGAATTACACAATCTTATTTACAAATGAATATTCGTTTGACCTTTGACATGTGTAAATTTTGTTTTTATTGTTTTCCTGCTTTCTTGGATAAAGGTGAAATCTGTGGTAGGTAAACGACAATTCTTAATTATAATATACAAGACAATAGGTTTTGAATATATATATTATCCATTGTTATAACTCTGTAGAAATTCCTTTAGCAAAACATTAGCTGTCGTCCGCGACTCCGTCTGCGCGGTATTTAAGAATAACTTAATAAGTAGGCTATGTGTCCTTCCAGACTATGTTCTACATCTTTATCAAATTTCAGTTAGATGAATGCAGCCGTTCTAGAGATATGGATATTTGTTAGAAGGTCCATCCATCCATTCATCCATATCCAGAAAGGCCTCATGGATCACGATGACATTTGTCATAGATGAAGAACATAGTCTGGAAGAACACATATGCCACTTAATTCCTCAATTGAAAACGATTTAGTAAGAATTTTTTGTTTTTTTTTTACTCCAGCTGGCATTCTATCTGTGATAATGGACGCGTATTTGGATGGTACGATTGACGATGCCCTTCTAGTACCAGTAACATTGAACTACGAGCGGTTGGTAGACGGCAGTTTTGTGCGCGAGCAACTTGGTATGCCGAAACAAATGGAGACCTTCTGGTCGGCTTTGCGAGGCATCTGGAGGACGTTGAATACCAACCACGGCGGGATAAGGGTTGATTTCAACCAGCCTATATCGCTCAAGGTCAGTTTTGGTACACAATGAAATTAAGTAACGGCGGCGTAAGGGTTGACTTTAAATTTCTATAAGCCTTCTCGGAATATGTACATACATTTATTTCCTATTCATTTGAAATATAATTTGACAGTTACAGTTCAATTATGATAAATATAGAAATGCAAATATTCTTTACCTATGCTTCTCCTCCTTCGATCAAGGAAGGGGAAATATTCTCTCTCTCTCTGTTGTTGTTCCCTCCATTGAATAAAGATAGGCAACACATCTGCAATTGCAGATTTCTATACCCAGTATCACAATTTCGGCGAATACAGGTTGTTCGTTTGTCACCTAGTAATATAAAAAATACAGATGTCTTAAATTACAACTCATTTGTTTTTTTTTTAATAAGAGTAAGAGTTATCGACGCCCATCTGCAATACTAGAGGAATCGCAGATGCGTTGCTGTCCTTTTTATTATGACAGTTCTCTTTAAGATATGTTTATCTGTGAACAGGAGTTAGTGACATCATTCCAGAAGTACAATTACCTGAAGGCGCCCATCGAGCGCTGTCTCACTCCACCCAACAACAACCTGGCTGTGAACCTGGACCGTCAGATCCTGTACAACCACAGCCACTCCAGTCTGTACGGTGCTGACGTCACAACTGATCATAAGATGATGGTCGAAGCTATCGGCAGACATCTTGTATACGGTTAGTTCATATATGGATGAGTTGTTAATTTTACTGGAGTATTTTGAAAATAGCCGACTAGCGATCGCCCGTGACTTCATCTGTGGAAGAAAGTAGCCTATAACATGCTCGCGTTCATTAGCTACCTTTCCGTCCAAGTCCCGTTAAAATCGGTCCACCAGTTCCGAAGATGACCTAAAACAAACACGGAGAGATATAATATCCAGACAGATAAAAAAAAAATGGTTTTTAGTTATCAGCTACTCGAATACATCATTTGTACGAAATATGTTTTTTCGATATTACATACAAACGCATATTGAGACGCGACTTGACCGTGAAGAATCCTTATTAAGGATTCTTCGTCATAAGGATGGACCCCACTCGGGAGTTTAGCCGTTCCTTATTAATTTATATTATGTTGTCTCACTACAGTTAAAATAGTCAATAAATTTTATCAATATGTATTGTTTGGAAGAAAATACAACAAGGCTTGTGTTGTGCCGGTGTACTGGCACAACATTAGCCTTATTAAAATATCGACGTTTATGTCCCCTCACTATTCATTCTGACACTTGACTTTGTAACGAAAGCGCGCCATTCGTACCAAAGGATTTTAACTAATCTTATATATAAAATTGTCGTGTCACAATTTTCGTTCCCATACTCCTCCGAAACGGCTTGACAGATTCTCATGAAATTTTGTGAGCATATTGAGTAGCTCTGAGAATCGGCCAACATTTTTTTTTCATCCCGCGCGGACGGAGTCGCGGGCGACAGCTAGTGATGTCTAAAACTATAGATGTTGTTGTTTCAGACGCGGCACAATCAACAGCTCTGATGTCAACAAACGTATTATCATACGTACTGCTGAGTGAACAGCGTCGCGGTTGTACACTGCAGCAGCTGCAGCGCTGTGTGGAGGCGCGCGGTGCAGCGCTGCAAGCCGCTGGCAGGGACCTCGGCTACACAGGAGATACCAGCTCACTTGTCAAACATGCTGTATGTGTAACTTACGACTGCTTATAAATATATTAACTTATATATATACGGCTAAAATATTCATGTATGTTCGTCCGATGTACTCGCTTTTAGTATGGACCCCGACGGGAGTTAAGCTATTTTTAATTTATTATAATGTGTCATGAAACTTAACCCTTATTGTGGCAAGATTTCTTTTTTGAAGAAAAGCAAAAAACAAAGTTAATAAAAAACTAACTTTAATTTTTTTATAGTGATCGTATATTTTTATATAGTTATGTATGGTATATTATACAAAATAAACATTTTGTCAATATGTACAGACTAGTTGTCGCCCGCGACTCCGTCCGCGTATATTAAAAAAAACATAATTGGTAGCCTATGTGTTCTTCCAGATTATGTTATTATATGGTTGGCCAAATTTCATCGAAATTCGTTCGGTCATTCTGGTGATATCTTCAATGAAATATCCATCCATACTAACATTGGCGTTTATGATATTAGTAAGATGTATATATATTGTTCTAGCTGGAGATGCTAGGTCGTGGTCTGGTGCGACGTGACGGACGTCAAGTGCGCGCACAGCCCACAGTGTCAGCTGCACTTGAACTCTCATACTACGCGAACGCACTCGTCGCGCACTACGCCGCACCAGCTATACTTGGTAAGCATAATAAAGGTTATAACGCATTTGTAAACTACACACCACCTCACGATCATTGCGGTTTGCTAAATTTTATTAACTTCCCTATATTCTATATGTTTGTCTAATTTTAGCGAAATTGATGCAGCCGTTCTAGCGATACCTTCCTTCTGACAAACATCCATTCACACATTCAACATTATAATATTGCTAGCTGTCGCCCGCGACTCCGTCCGCTCGGAATTAAAAAAAAAACATAATTAGCCTATGCGTCTTTCCAAACTATGTATGCCAAATTTCATAAAGATTCGTTCAGCCGTTCTGGAGATACATTCAAACTTACGTCCATTCATCCATCCATCCATCCATGTATCTAAACATTCGCATTTATAATATTAGTAAAATTGAAATGTGAGATTATAAGATTGATAATAAAATATTTATATGAACGTTAACTTCCAGCTACGGCACTAGAGAGCATAGTATGTGAGAGCGATGAGGACACAGTGCGACACAGCGAGCTGATAGAGTCATCCCTGCAGCTGTGCGAGGTGCTCAGTCAGGAGTTCATCCTGTGCCCGCCCTGCACCCGCATCGAGGAGACCATGCTCAGTGCCATAGGTACCCTGGTCTCCTGTGACGTCCTCTCCGAAATACAGGTTAATATCTACCTATGGAATCCTGGTACTCTGTGACATAAAAGCTTTTTTTTAGGTCAAATAAAGCTGAACATTTTTAGGGTTCCGTCCCTCAAAAGTAAGAAACGGAACCCTTATAACCCTTCCGTCTGTCCAATCCGGTAACAATAACGAAGTAACAGCTCGACCCGAGGCTCCTGAGGAAGCCCTCGAGTCTTGTTACTCTTAAACGAGGTTCAGGCTAAGTGCCATCTGCACTCGGCCACCTCAAGCCCGGTGAAGCTGTAAATGCTTCTTCAAGGCAAACAATGACTACTCAGTCACAAAAAAAAAACCGTCCGTCTATCTATCTGTCAAGACCCTTTTGCTGTACCAAGCTGGAATTTATTTTTTTCTATTAACTGAAATACTACGACTTTA